ATATGTCTGGGTTTTTTGTATTTGGTACTAACCATTTTCAGCCAATTTGAAATATTATATTACGGTACAAGAGATGCTCGAAGTTCGACTTGACCAAGAGGACTTTCGTCTCGCCAACCGTACATTATTTTTCTTGATTTCAGTGGAAACTAGGCGGGAAAAGCATAAGGCAAAAAATTATTTTGCAGTTGGTCATTTCCCAATTATTATCATATGGAAATTTCAAAATGTTTTGATAGGTATTCCTCGTATGTTAAGAGTGGAGCACTTTGTTTGTGATATTTCGCTGAAGTTTTCGTCTTTTTGAATTTTGAGCGTCCCTCGCTAGTTTAATACGGGGACTCTGAATGGGTGAAACACAATGTTAAACTGCGAATAATATTTTTCTTGCGCAGGAATATTCCAAGGCGTTTTTGCCACACCTTCCTGATAGACGACCCTGCCATCTTGTTTTTTCATTTTGTGTTCCCAGTCTGCAAGTAGGCACATTTCAAAACTGATCTTTGCAAACCCACAGAATCATTTTTTAGAATTTCGTTTTCGCCAGTCACCAAATTTTTTTTTCTCATTTTGCAACTGGCATTCTTCTTTACAAACCGTAGGTTTCATTGTAAAAAGGTCATTTTCATCGGTAATATTGTTGAAAATTTAAAAAATGATAAAATTTGATACAAAAGATCATGGCAGTTGAAAAAAGAAGAATAAAACCTATCATCATATCAATCATATTTAAATTTTCTCTCACAAATAATATTTAATAAACACAAAACACACCAATTGGCAGAAAGGGGGACACTCTTTGCCCGTAGACAAAATATATTTCATTGTCAGTTCACTTAGGGTGTTTATCTATGGTTTGTTTGTGATGAAAAAGGCATACGCCTTTGACTCACTTTACTTGTTTAAATAGAATTTTAGTAAACTTTGCTTGAATCTAAGGTCTAAGGTGAAGCTATTGATACTCTCTGATCTCTACTCTCTGATTCATTTGACAACAAATCATCTAATTGTGGTTGCACAAAATAAGCCACACCTACACAGCCAATAATCTTAAACTAATTCTAACAACGGTTACTTGAGCTTTTGATATTTGAGAAGCAGTATTTAAGTAATTTTTATGAGGCAATGTACCTACCTTGAAAAACAATGTTGCCGACGTTCTGACCTAATTTTTTGGTTTCTTTGATTAGAGTTTTTGATACGAATTAGTCTTTTTACTATTTTCTCTGCTTTTCCTAAACTCTCATGAACAACAAACGCGGAGAAATGTGACCAATTTTCAATCGTTGACTGATTGAAAGGCTTATAATTAGAAAAGTTTCTATTCCATATTTTAGTCCAACCGCATGATTTCTAGGAAAAAAGTTCTTCAGGTGCCCGGTCCGATACGGACTTTGGCTATTATCATGGCACTTGTAATTTTATTTACCGCTCTTCTAAATGGTTGAACCGATCTGTGTCCGAACCATTTCCGTAGATTCTGGAGCCACAAATTCTGAACGATTACGCCACGAAATATTACTGGCTGACCCTCGCTTGCTATCAATTTTTTCCTGTAATGTGGCTCATTATGTGGTCAATGATTCAAGCTTCCTCTGTCTAATTGTGTTCACTATTTCTTTTTCGAACGATTTCAGTTTCTTCTTGACCGTTTCTGTCAGCGTCCCAGCCGCTTCAAGGTACAGCAGGACAGGGAAAATGTACCATTTTACCAGTCGTACCGTTAGAGGTGGAGACAAATTTCTCCTCAAAGTAGAAATTGAAGGATGGAAATAAAAAATAAAACTAGAAAAAAATATCTTAGGCCTTAACATGAATGGAAATAATGGAAAAATATTTCTATCATGTAGGGACATTATTCTAATCTGTTTGATTCCGGAAGTTAGCAAAATTATACTTGAATCACCCTGTATATCAAGAACAGACGACCGGAATGAACAAAATCATAAATTACCGCTAGAATCATGGCAATGCTGTCAATGTACGCACTACTTGAATGTACCGCATTTTTTTAATTACGTTGCCTGTATAGCTGAACCTGTTTGAGGATTTGTAATCCCTTTAACCTGTCCTACACTTTGACATCTGTAAATCCTTCAATATCGAAGGGCGGGCTTCTTTGGTAGTCATGGTAACGAGCCCCACTATAGCATCGATAGCTCCGGTTGTTTTATGATGGTCGCTGCGCCAACAGCCAATCGGAAAACGTTCGAGGCGTGGTTTTATAACAATTACGGTTGAATTGAATCCTCCTATTGGCTGTATCGGTTACCCCCAGAAGAGGACGGCCAAAAAAATACATAGTCCTTGACGCATGACCAGACGCCATGACCGATATCTCAGGCCCTGTTCATTTTACCATTCACTCATTCGCTCTCCTTGTCTAGTTCGCGGGATATGGCGGTGTACCGTGAGCAAAGGGAACATTTTCAACCTAAAGGAATGAGGGTGGCGGCCATCATTGCTGAGGGTATTGATCTGTAGGGTGGGTTCTGAAACCTGTCGGCAGGCGTACAAGAAATCTGTTTTATCTGGGCTTAGTTCAGCGTTCGGCCGGAAGATGGTCCAGGAATATTTTCCCCTATTTTATTTAATATGGAATATAATTCGTTCTTAACACACCAGTTTTGAAAACTTTTTGATGTTATGCAGGCTTTTGCATTTTATGGATGTTTTTCTTTTCCAGAGGGATATTTAGGTCTTTTATGAATGGGTTTTATATGTTTATCTGTTTTCAACAATTTCATTTTTTAAATGGAAATATTAATGGGGTTAACTTACAAACTGTAAGCTTAGCGTAGGTTTTCATATAAGTAAACGGGAATTAGAAGTTAATTCTTGAAAAGTGTATATCTACTAATTATTAGCACCGAACAAAGCATGTACAATTTCAAATATAATTATTAGTTTTTAGTCAACTAATTAATATGTTATTGTGCTCATAATATTTGCGATTTACAACTGGATTTAATTATATTAAAAATATAGTAGGTACTTTAGAAATTTATGATAGTTGATAAACGATAAGAGCAAGTTTTCAGCTCGAAATAAATCGATTCAATAGATCCAATCCACATGAAGGAATTACCTATCCTAATGCCATGAACAAACCGTGATAACACACATAACAAAGTAATTTTCCCGGTAGTATCCATTAACTTAACGACGTGGTTATGGGGGCATAATGTTTTTTTACCAAAGTGTTTTTGATAAGTGGTGTGTATTAAAACTATTATTGATGGGCATTATAGGAAAACAGTAGCCCTGGTTTATGTTTATGACAGCGCATAAAATTCCCAGCAGACACCAATTGATTAATGATATAAATTGAATGGATATTAGGAAGTAGCAAATTTTCGATTCAGTAAGTTTTTTCAAAATTTGCTACAATTTTCTGACTAAACAAGTGATTTTTTATCTACAAACTATAGACCCTTATGAGAAATCAGAAATAAAATTATTCTGAAAAGCAATTGTATACGAAAGAGGCTTAGATGGGAGAAACTGATAAAAAAAGGGAATATAGAAAGTCGTAAAAAAGTCGTCAAAAGTTGAATATTTTCGTAGAAATTTAGTCCCTTTTATATTCCACAAGAATAAAACCACAAATTGTTGACATCTTATTTTTGCCAAAGAAAACGAATTGATCAGATAACAAACTGATGTTCCCAAGATAGCGTTTCCTAACACTTGTGGTATTCATCTCAGGTACTGCTTAAACGATTATTCACTTTCCATTGAAAGTTATATCTATTATTATTAATGGCTCAAATATTCAATAATCAAAGTTAAGTAAATAATTCCCATGTATACGGGCGGTTTATAAATAATCCTATTTAGAGACCGGCATGAGAAAGGGTTTCTCATGGATCTTTAATTAAACACTATATTAGTTTAATCCCTTCGAATAATTAAACTGTTTAATATTCCGAGAAGACCACTCAGTTTGTGGGACATAGCTGTGGGGTCTTCGTTTAACGAACTCAATGACCGCACATATGTGGCAACTTACCTAATTATTTTTATTTATCTACTTATGGTAAGTCTCATGAAAAAATGTCGATACAGTTAACACATATATTTTACTCCAAATGGAGTCACTTTTCTCATTTTTGTCTCAATATTTTGTACTGCACTCGGTTTTAATACCCTACAGTTTTCTGTGCTGTAGTAATAATTGATACAATTTTTCGTGACGGTTTTTGAAATGACAACTGGAAGATCAAAATATTCCAAATAAATTTAGTTGTCCATACGCATGCAAATTCTGTGTGCTTCTTATTAAATGTAACCCTCTTCAGCGCTATCACGCTATCACGGATTGTCTCAACCTTTCCCCCTCTGGCAAATGAGATAAGGGTCGCTTTAATTGACTAAGCCTTTCATGCATTATAAGATACTGGTGTTTTGATAGCGTTTCAAAATGAAAGCCGCCTGACCTTTTGTCGTACTATTGGTGGGCTTTAATGACGAAAAGCGTTTAATTACAAGCATATAAATGTTCATGGCTTTAATTAAGAATAATCGTAGGCTATCTTGAATTTATCTATTAATTAAGTTAAATTATTTACAACGTGCATTTGATTTACTTTTGAAAGTTACATACACTATTGAGATTTGAAAATCTCATAGAAATTCCATTATATTTGAACGAATTTTAGCAATGTGAAGATATGGTTTGGATTAATATAAGCATAAGCATATATATATTTTCATAATAAAATGTTTAATACATATACCTAGATATCTATACTTATGAAAGAACTAATTAGATGTTCAACTCTTCCAGCTATTCTACTGCCTTCTTTTCGTAGTACAGAATGTGTTGATCTGCTTTAACATTTTATTAACATTTTTTCGTACTTTCCAACTGAACTACTTTAATGCAAATTTCTATTATAAATCGTTGTTAGGTTGCTTACATATTCTCATGCGTATTCCTTAGTGCTATTAATATATTCTAATAGGTAAGTCGAAACCTAATTTTCTAAAGCGGTTCGACGTTTCTTCCTATGTTTTCGCAGTTTGAATGACATAATGTAGTTAACTAACTGGATCTGCCTAAATAATAAATAATGATTTGTGATCGCCATATGCCTCCTCGTTTGGACATTTCCATATTTCTTGAATAAAAAAATAGTAATGTATACATATTAAGTAGACGAATAACTCATGTTACTTGATCTCAAGTTTTATGTTAGCAATTTGTTTTAGACACATAGGTACATTAATGTCTTTTTGCAAATGAGTCGTCCAAGGAGCGAGGCAAATCTTATATTTCTGAAGTTTCAGCATTACTTAATAACTTCGAATGGATCTTTGAATACACTCATGATATATGGTTTCAAAAAACTATTTCTGTTCGTACTAAGCAGAATACGTGAAGTATTTTTTACGGGGTCACATGGAGACTTGACTTAAAATCACAGTTTTTCAAGCATGTCCATGGGACTGTAGTTACTTTTTTGACACGTTGAGTAAAACTTTGAATGCTTCGGATCTAAAAGAGCTTATTTCGTGTTGGAGGGAAAACTGTAATTTTTTGCGTGCAAGGTATACTAAAAGTTATTTTTTTGTGCAGTTTTGTTGTGTTAGTTTTACAATAATTAGATATTTATTAACAGTTTGCTGTGACTACTCATACCGACATAAATGTTTCTCATTTTATATGTGGAAAAGAAAAACTTTTTCAATCTTGCCTGCAATTAAATGTGCTATTTTAATTAATTCCAAGCGAAGAATGGCGTGACATACAACAACTTTGGCTTTGCAGACGGAACAGAAAAGCGTGTTCATAAATATTAAAAATGAATGCAGCGCCATTGTAACGTGCACACATGCAAAACTTATTTGCATATTCATAGCCACGCCGGAACATGCAAGTCATTTTTGATAAGGAAAATTGCCTGAGTCTGTTCCAATTCATATAATGTTGCCAACGTCATTTTATCAAAAAAACGTGACGTTTTTTCAAATTGTTATCATGTTTGCTGTGAATTTTTATTACACACCCTATTCTTCTGAATCGAATTCTAGCTAAATGTTATCGAAGCAAAATGTTTATGACACTTTCTGTGCATAACATGAATATTGACGATGTTTTTATGTGAGAATTGCGATATGTCCATACTGCCACAAGGAGGTACTTTATAACAGCCTACATAACTGTGTCTATGTGCAAAATGTTTTAAAAGTTTTCCATTTGCTACGCGCCTTCATGCCATTTATCAAGTGACTATAATTTCCAAACATCACTAAGTACCTAAATTTGCAATTTAGTTAAGTTTTTTTCCTGGAGAAATTTTGTGATTCAATGGATCCTTTATGTGATCCTTTTTCAATCATTCAATAACAAAACTAGCGCAGCAAATATAGTTAATTATTTTTTGCATTTCTGTTCTAAGTCTGTCCCAAATACCACATCCCTCTCGACCTTTAGTAGGCAAAGTTTAATCAAATTTATAATTATTCTTTAACTCATAAAACATGTACCGAGCACAAATTTACTTAGGATGGGCTTTTATTTCCCTGGAGAAAAGGTTAAAATTTGAACGAGCGAGAACGGTAAGAAAAAGTTGTTGGCTCGTATTTCTTTATTATGTGAAGGTATAGGCTGGGGGGCAAAACGCTTTATAAATTTAAGCCGACTATTCTGTATCGAGCCCTATTCTGTGTCGAACTGAAATTTTCAAAGCTGTTTTTTTCATTCTTTCTGTATTTTGCCTCAATATTTCCTCATCTATTAAGAATGAAATAATGAGTACTCTCATATTTCTAAAACGAGCGAATTCTATATCAGAATTCAAAAAATTACCTAATGGGGATTCTATGACACACGTAGGCTCAAGCTGTAAATGCCCGTAAAAAAACAAACTTTTTAAATTGTTAGATCAAATGATTCGATTCAGAAATAGAACAGGGCAGAATTTGGAAAATTTAGAGAATTTAATTAGTCCTAGACTTGTAGACCCAAACCTCAAAAAAGACATCAAAATATATTTGACTTTGTCCTGAATTTGTCATTGAAAAGTAATGTGCATAATTTTCTGAAAAGCGGTTAACCATATTCTATTTTATGTGACATTACAGAGGAAGAAAATTTAATTTAGTTGGAAAATAAAGAGAAATCCATCTCGAAATTTAATTCAGCTTCCCAGCGACAAAGAAGAAAGCAACGTCTGGATAGACGCCTTTCCAAAGTCCAGAAGTTTTATGACTCGCAGTAAATTAAATAAGTTATGTTTATGAGGATGTTTGGAACTTTAGAGTTATGTCTACAGGCACTAGAAAACTTCGTCCTGTCGCATTATTTTTATCGTCTTTCGAGGGATTGTCTTAAGAGATAGGATTGGATTTACAAGCCAGATACTTTAATTTCTTACAAAATGATACCCTAAGGAAACTTATACCATTAACCTAATTAAATGTTTTGCCATTAGCCTTATTAATTTTATAATAAAAATAACTGTGGGTCTCTTTCTCGGGATCTTCTTCTGGTTGAATTTCTGGTAGTAAAATAATATAAATCTGTCGTATTAAAATGTGGCAACAATCAGATGGAGCTTCTGATGCATCTAAGAATTCATTATGTTTTCAAATTATTTCTGTGCAGCAAAATGTGTGTGACATTCACATGAGATTCATGGGATATTAGACGGTAACAATAATGATATGAGTCCGTTTAAGAGATGCTTTGTTGGCATACAAACGGTTACGATTTAGTGGCCTCTATAAAAGTTTAATTGCACGAGAAAAAAAATATATACCGGTACCGATTTGAATGAAGATGTTATTGCCTGGTTGAACTAATTTTCTGCCAAATAAATAACAAAGTAGTATAAATTGAAGAGACATAAACATATTTACTAAGCATAATAAAAGTTTCTTTTCCCATCGAGGGTTACGGCTTGACATGTTTATCAACAGGATTTCATTGCCCTTAAAGGATCATATTTTAGGGCGTCTTGGTTCGTTCCCTTTAATCAGAATTTTGTGATATATTGCATATATTCTTTGTTGTAATAAAGACATTGTGCAAACCTGTTGGAGATCAAAATGGGGTCCTAAATACAAAATTAAAATTAGAGAAAACTGGGGTCCAAAAAGTAACGGCAATGTGCAACTAAAGTAGATTTGAGAAAGCATTAAACTGAGCAACCGTTTTATATTTTGATAGTCGATAGTCAAGAACTGTTCTGGAACGATTATTTCATAACAGTTAGCCTATCATTCATTTTAGAAATGGGTGTATGAAGGATTAGAAGAAAACGATTTTAGTCATAGTTGTGTGCCAGCAACAAAGCCTTTTTGAAAAGGACTGATGTTGCCCTTTATCTTTCTTTAGGCCATCTAACCAAATTATACTTTGTATTTCATGAATCTTGAGAAAATATTCCAGGAAAGTCGATAACCTTTTTCTATAGAAAATAAAGATTATTTATATATTTTTTACATGTATATTCGAGGAATGTTTCTTTTGTTTCGAGAAAACGTTTTCTTCTACTCTGAAACAGATAATTCGCCTCCAGTTCTATTTACCTAGTCTTAATAAAAGAGCAAATCAGGTGAATCATTTACAGTATTGTATTAATCAAGATATTTCACAAAATATGCAAATACTCCATGAATGACATTGAACTGATGATAAAATTCCAAATATGTGAAACTCCAACCATTCTTGACAGATAATGATCAGAGAAGCTTTTAAGGGTAAGAGGGCCCTATTGCAGGCCAGCAATCAACCCGTTGCGTGATGTCGTAAAAAGGGGCCTGAAACATCCCCCTATCTCCCCAGAGAAGGTCCAATGTCGCAGCATCTAAAAGGGTTTTTCCGTATACCATTTCGAAGGAAATAAATTCACATCAAGTGGGTGGCGGGAAAGAGTTATCTAGCTTCCATTATACAGCCAGTTTAAATATTGCAGCACATTTGCCATCCCGAGGTGAACAGTTTAAGGAAAAAGGGATGTTGATTGAAATTTGCATGAAAAATATAGGAATTTTTTAATACGTTTTTGTTATTATAATTTGTTAAAAAAATGAGGCTCTTCTTGACACAGATTTGTAAAAGAGTTTGGCTTCGACGCCATGCAATAATGATGTTGACATCACGTGAGGAGCTATTTAAGAAAGCGCGATGTGCAGTTTAAGGATTATGACGTAATAAAGGGGAACGTTTATTGTCGTCCATTAAATTAATATTGTGGGGAAGAACAATTACTGCCGGTTAGTAGAACGGCAATAGAGTTTTGAATAATCATTCTACTGATTTATGCTGTTTTTTTTTTCTTAAATATTGCATTGATTATGTGTAGCTATTTCGACTTCTTTACTTCACCTGTTTTACTTTACTTAATTTGTAGCATTATTTTTATTGTTTGTTTGCTCACTAGTTTTGTGCTTCGCTGCCGTGCCAAAACTTTACTGTGAAATGAAATTTGATAGAAAAAGTAATATACATTTGGGTTGGTTGGATTTAATTTGATTAGTTAATAATTATTCAACGTTCGATTTGATTAACTATTAATCAGTTTTTAGATTCATTTCGAAATATTTTTGATATTTTATCCAAACAATTCGCTATTGTTCGTTGAGATTGCCAGAATCGAGTAACTGCTACGAGGCGACATTTTTGCTTCTTTTTCTCTTGCCGTTGCTGCTTTGGGTTTTACGACCGACCCGCCTGGTTGGCTCCTATTCCTGCAGATTCTGCTTTTCGTATCAGTGGCGTAGCCATCAGAAAAAGCACGCGTTTAGTAATTTATTAACAGTTTTCAAGTTGCCTTATTTCGAAAGTATCTGAAAGCATTCTGGCTTTTTTGCCTTAATAGTTACATCTGTAATTAAATATAGTTTGCTTTCACTTCTGAATTACAGTATCAACAAACAAGAATTGTGTTCATTTGCAAGGCAAGGGCCAAAGAAATGTTTCGTAAGTTACTATTTCCATTTAAGTAAACAGTTCGTGCTTCTTTTCAAAGTTCGAAAACGGTGCCCATGTAACTTATTTTTTTTACTGTAGTCTGTTAAATACAGTTCGATAAACCTGAGACTTAATGCCTGTGGAACAATAAGATTTCTCCTTGCGGAAAATGGGTCCTACGCCATTGACTGAAAATATCTAAAAGCTTTTCGAGAAAACGCCATGCAGCTTTCCCACTAATGCCCCGACAGCATCAGCGGAAACTTCCTCCCAGCTTCGCCTCTTTAGTTTATACGGTTTGATACGGGCTTCAAGCTTTAACTTCGACTTTAGTTTTATGGCTGTGTGGATATATGCGAACCATTAAAAGATCTGAGCTTAAAACGCACCAATCCTTGATGCTTTAACTTCTCGAATTGAACTATCAAATTCAAACTGTCCAAGATTGTAATAAACACCATTTGGATTTGGATGGAGCAGCGTCCATTTTCAACAGTCCCTAATAACTAGAATTTATATACGAGAATAATGAAAGATGTGATCCGGCACTGTCCAAGACTCACCGGCTAGAAAAACGTTTTTTTTAAACAGTGGATCGGTGCTTGCAATGAATTTTCAGAGAACTTGCCCAAAGGATCATGTCCGTTCGAAACCGCTAATTAAGATACCGAAAAGCAAAATGGTTACCTTCTGTCTACCGTACACCATTGTGCTTTTCCCCCCAAGTGAAAAATCTTGGCATCGGTTACAGTTTGTTCGCTGTTCGCAAACCGCCGCTATATTTATCATTAAAGTTGTGTTTCATAATGCCACAGTTTTACGTTTAATTCTCGATTGTGTAGTCGGCATTTCTTGTCTAATTACAATTAAAAAATCGTCATTGGCTCACTCGATAATTGTGTTCATAAAAGTGTGTTCGTTCGAGGCATCGTTAGGCATGCGCAACTAGAAGACCGTGTGAGTATTTTTATGATTTTTTTAAGGCTTTGCATACATTTATTTCTTGCACGTGTAGTCAGAAGTATTATATAGTTATATAGTTATATATAGAATTCTTGAATCAATCAAGATCTAGAATCAGCGTGTATTAATAACATACGTAAAATGTGTTATAGTTTAATAATTGCCAATTGCATTAATTAATTTGCTTGCTTGTTCTCTACTCATCATGTCGCCGTGAGTCTATGCTAAGTTATATGAGTGCATTTACTAGATATGCTTTATTACATTTCGCCTACGAATTATTCAAGTCATCAATATAAATGTTTCTTTTACATGATAGCAGATGGACTGCGGAAACTATTTGGTATTCACTTAATTAAATGCGACCTTTAAACAATGATTTCAGATAATTGAATGGAGTTTAATAGGTATGCACTAATAATTTGACTCATGTGAGTAAAAAAATTCACAAATGACTAGACTGAACTTTATTCACAAAAATGAAAACAGATCGATTTGCTGATTCAGCTTCATACAGTTTCACGTTTATTTAATTTCGAAAATCAGATACTTGTGATTAATTAAGAATTTCTGCATTGAAATGGTGGCTCCGAAAACTTATTTACAATTTGAGAAGGAAATTAATACCGAATTTTCAATAGGTACCAGAAGAAAATTTCAGGAATAAAATTTGATGATAATTTCACCGTTCTTGGTTTACGTTTGCCGTCAGTTTTCCAATGCCTTTTCAATTTGTGAAAGAGGAGACCTCCTGACTTTTTGTCCAACTTGTCTTCGAATAAAAAACAAGCCCTATTAATTGCATACTTAGTGTAATAGAGTTTGAGATAATAGTTTGTATTCTTCTTACAAAAGATGATTATTTTCTGCAGGTTAAATCAGTGAAACGTAACATACAAGGTGGTCCTCAATTAATATGGCAACATTCACTGGCATATTGTCGCCAAAAAATGTTTTAAAGGTTTTTTAGACCCACAGATCGAAATTTTCGATTATCTAGCTAAAACATTTTTTTTCCGTTTGAAACTTTTTTGGGTTTTAAAATATCGCTTCTTTGTTAGCAAAATTTCGCTTCTGAAATCTGAGATGTTCTGAAACCCTTTCAATAAATTATTGTCATATTAAAAAATATATTGTTGCTACGGAAATCTTCTGCAGCTTTTAAGCGTTTCTTGAGAACCACCCCGTAGATACATTTAAATTTTGTGAGGCCATCTAAAAATTCTATAGAGAGAGATTGTGAGAAGATTCCAGCTTCAGGTGCACATAGCGTGTGACGCAATTTAAAAAATTAGTTGACTGCTGCTAAAATGTTATGCGCAGGGAAAGTGATTCTTCAAAGATACCAAAGACCAATTGTATAATCTGTCTACCCGGGCCTACCTTTCTGTGGTCTCTTGGCTGAAATTCGCCACCTCGCCGAAATTGTCGGTTCCTGGAACATCAAACGTTCAGTTGCAAAAGTCTTTGTTTTATCAGATAGTCGGTTTTCAACAGAGTGAAACTGAAGCTGTAATTTTTGAAATTATTGAGCTAACAGCTATCGTCATCATTTGATATAAAAAATATATAGTATTAGTTCAACCGTCTAAACTTTCGTGAATGAAACACACTTCATATTTGCTTACTTACTTTTCTTAAGAACATACATTTTAAAAACTTTTTGAAGTATTTAAGAAAAGTTTGTAAGTTATGTAATACTGATTAATTGCTTCGTTACGCAAATTGAACAATTTAAAGCAGTGTAATTCTTTGTACCAGATATTACATCATTAATAGGCTTACTGTCGTTGCACAAGAATTCGCTTTATGAAGTGGTTCACAAGCAGTATGAAAAACTTACCTTCCTATTTTGAAAATACTCAAGGCCTATAAAGTGAAATAGCAGAAAAAAAACACCGCACAAAAAGATATACGTGGAATAAAATTAAAATTCACACACGCGAATGTTGTCGTGCAAAAGGTACCCGAACACTAATGAACGAGCCGATTTGCGGTTAGATCCAAAACCACAAAATTCTACCTAAAAGTGAAATCAAAAGTGAAACGCATCCCATTGTTATGTCCGGTTTTTCGGCCTTTGTCCAACGCAAAATAGTTCAACATGTTTACTACCACTCTAAAATGGTGGCAATAAAATTTTATGCGTAGTACGATGCATAGTAAAAACAAATTTCTGAAATGAAATCGAAAGCATGAATTCCTGTCTAATTGAGGGTGATTTACGAGTCCCAAGTTAATTTTTCTACATAGTTTCGAATACATGGGTCACAATTCTCAGATTTCGAATGTGCCAAAAGGGTACAAAGGTGCGAAGGGAAACAAAGCTCGAAATAATAACAGTTAGACAGCTGTAGCAAATCAACAATGCTAGAGTTAAAATTAAGGACTTCCTTTTCGCATTTCCATTCGTTATTCCATCGCCATGCTGCCAACCAGACCGCCGACGAAGTGCAAAATATTAACTTGAGTTTTAGGTCATTGTCCAAACTCACAACAGATAGTCTCTATGTGTTTTGAAGATTATTAGATCTATTAAAAATAGGTTGGTGAATCAACTACAAACTATAGTTGTATTTGCTCATTAACCCTTTCGAAAGATGTAAAGGCTTTTATCAAATATTATCTCTAAACAAATTAAATTAGCGGGTAATGAGGATATCGACTGTCCTGTCTATTCCAGTGAAAATTGAAATTAGCATAACATATTTTATTAGCAATGATTTGCAAAAGCCCAGATTCAAACAACTCCACAACGCATAAATGGATAAATAGAGAAAGTGACAATAAGATACACAAGGATAAACGGTAAATTCATCAAGATTTGTTGACTGCGGAACGTACTTTCGAAATGTCAACCTGTTCTCATAACCTCGAACACCAAACATTTGAATGGTTAACTCCAAACAAGCTAGTGCCTGTGTAATCTCCTTATTRTCAACTCTTTTTTCCTCAATCAACTCGTAATTTGAAGCAAAGATCGTAATTTTTCTTTTTGAATGCTTAAGTATTCCAATATGCTACCAATTATACATGGAACAATTTCAAAATAACGCTTAATAACAAAGTCGAAATTCGACCTTCAACTCTTAATACCTTAAATAGAAATTTTCGAAAAAAAAAATTTCAATATTTTTCTCGTATTCCCCAAGGGAGCCTCTATCACCCCTTAAAAGGAATGACGCCAATTTTGAATCACCCTGTATGTGTTTATTTCTAATAATATGTACAATTAAATATTTACCATCATCATACATTTAAAAAAATCACACGGGCTTCACTACCTCCCACCTGATTTTATGGTTTCATTTTACAATAGCCAATAGAGTCTAGTATGGTACAATTATGCTGAGCGAACTCATAAGGTATTTCCAATATACAGACACTTCATTGTGACACTAACTGTGAAAATGGTCAATGCTCATCCGAGTCGATTAGAATTAATGAGGAAATTGTCCATTTGTCAATTTTTTACATATAAAATCTACTACCAATAGTTCCTTAAACGTAAAATGAAAAGCTCTGTTATTTGGAACGGTTGATGTCAAATACAATGAAAATTGAATAAAGAGCGAGTCCAAATAAAGCTCATCCATCAAGCTCATAAGCGAATGCTGTTTAATTAACTAAAAATCAGACTTTCAGTTGGCGTAGGCTTGAAGGCCAAGGAAGACTACAAAAATGTCATCACGTAATTCGAAGCTTCTAAGAGACGCAATTTAGGACCAACTCACTACAATGTTCCTAAGAAATTTGTCTAAGTGCTAACAGTAAATTTGGTACCTGTAATGCTAGAACGAAGATATTTAAAACTAAAATCCTTTATATAGTGCACAGACGTCCCGCTATGTTAGATGGATTTGAGCAGGCAGCTGCAACATAAATATAGAGTGAAGCTCATAACTGAATGCTGAAGGCTCAAAGCTTCAACAGTTTAACAAAATCCTCATGTATTTTATTAAATTGCTCAAATGGAAACTCATTGTTACCTGATGTTGTAGGTGAAACATTCTCATTGTCCAGCTAATTGCTGTTTTGCTGGAATTTGCTTAGAAGGTGATAGAAAAGATTGCGTATAACTTCGTGAATGTTTTGCGTTTTCAAAAATCATCACCGTTCTCCATATTTTTGTTTGAAACAAAATTTGAATGGGTTAACAGAAATTCTACAGAGGTAAAAATACTAAATAAGTTCCGGTTTTTTGACCGATATCGAATAATTACAAGATAGTTGATTTTCTTGGAAATTCGGTCCGAAAATACGTCATTTCGTATTATTATAATTATTTTATATTAAATGGCGAGTGTTGCATCAATGTCGAAGCCATCAAGAAAAAATCACCAACAGTTTCATATTCTTTAGTATTGTGCCGAAATTCTTTTGAACGATAGTTTACGCTTAACATGCGATTTAAATTTCATCAGCAAGTATTTGCACACAATGCACAGTTCGACTGATTTAATTTCCACTGGTCCATGAGTGCCTCTGGCATAATCCGAACAAAATGAATAATAGAAAATAGCTAATGATAATAAAATCGAATTCTGTCTACATAGTTTAAGGTATATATAAAGTATCAAAGAGTCCACATCCATTAGTTTTTGTCTCAAAAGCCAGTCTATTTTGAGCATTGTTTTTAAACAAAATGTTACACTTGAAAGTAGTAAATAAAGTCGTCTGTCAATAGCACTCTGTAATATAGAGCTTCTAAAAATATATTATTGCCAGAACTGTGGGGACAAATAGCTTTTACAACTCACAGTGTTTTAGTATTGAAATCGAAAAACGGACCGATGTTTGTTTTATCTTTTTCTTTTCGATTAACTGCTTCTAATTTTAGTATTAACGATGGCACTGGTTAAACTTGAAATATACCTACTGTTCACATTAAAGTCAACAAAAATATCAATTTATATAATTAGGACACGATTGGAGTTTTTTTTTATTAAAGTGTACATTTTCAAAAATTATTTTATTTATTCAATATTTTGTGTAGTTAAAATCAAACGGCCCTGTTGGGCAAATGACGCTTGCATTTGAGTCGTATGTTTCATTTTCTTAGCAAACGCTCTGGAAGTTGTTTAGAAGAAACGCAGCTTTTAAACCTGAAATATACCACAGATTCTCGGGTTTCAGAACTAGGATGCACCCAAAAGCAATTCCAAATTTAACCCCCCATAAACTACATCCAGACGTGTATATTTTTAACTTTCTTGCCTTGTTATCGGTATAGGCGAGATAGGGGTCCGCCGACCCTAGGCAGGCTTTAGACCCGTATATTTTTCAACTTTTACAGTGCTTTATTCCCATTGGCCGAATATGCAACGCTTCATTGGGACCGAGATTCATGGTGGTGCTTCTTCATATATGCATTGTTAATTTGGAGGACGCGTTCTTGACTTTTTGTTATCAAGGACTTTATTTATTTTTGAGAAGCCAGAAGTGAAAGTGTTGTGTTGTGTTGTTTTGAAAATGTTGCCTAAGAGTAACAAAACATTTATCAAATCGAGCTGGGTAAGCTGTTCAATTATAAGTGTAGGTAGATACTTGCAAATAGGTATTGTAAATTCAAGATAATAGTAAAATTATAATTGAAACTTCAACGTCTTAATGGGTTTCCATTTGCATTGGTTTTGAGCTTAGCTTTGGTCTTAGGTTTCAAGTTTTCTTTTGCTGCATACATTTCACAAACGTTCACAATCTTCCTGTTAACGAATGTATCTATATGAACTTTTGTGGAATGTTTTATTGCGTTTTTTTTTCACTGGGTCCATTTTGATTTACCTAAATAATCCTGTGTTTAGTTCTTATGGATAATGTTATAGTTCGGTTAGCCAAAAATGTGTATTAAATCGATGAACATTTTATTAATAATTCAATTTGGAATGTGAGGTCGTTACACTACCTAAATTAATTTAAGCTAGATGTAAAGCATCTTTGCTCGTTATCATTTTGCTTACCTCTTTTGTCATGATGCCTGCAAGTCTGAAGCAACATGTAAGTAGATGTAAAATCTGATCTGAACTTTTGCCAAGTTTACCTTAAATAATTTTCAACTTTTTAAATTAATTTATCAAACAATCTAACAAAATGAAGACTGGAAAGTAGTTTGAACTATATTTTTAACATTTTTTAATATTTCTTTGGTTATTCATTGGATTTTTGGCCAGCTAACATTTATTTGAAAGTTAAATTAGTTAGTAATGTGTACATTTTGATGTTTTCTCCGTCAATAAATGTTCTCGATTTTTTTTCATTAGCTGTAATAAATAATGTAATTTTTTAAAGAAAGATTACAGCTTAATTATAGTGAAAATAGACCATTTACTTATGATGAACGTTTATTCAGTAGCGGGAAAGTGTAAAGGAATTTTAGTTCTATCGGCTGAAATTTACGGACCATTAACACTGCCATCAAATAGCGATCAAAATTAGGAAATTAAACAGGATAATGTTAAATTTAAATCACTAAAATATATCAATCCGCAAAGTGCAATAATACACTCGATCTTTGAGTAAAGTCAATAAAAAATTTTACAGCTATTTAAACTGCTAATTAAGAGAGGAAGGTAAAATGTGCGTCGGATATATAAAACAGTTATTAAAAAGACATTTGGAATTTTGTGTACACAAACACACACGACTACAATGGTGCATATGCAAATAGCCAATAATAAATCAACCGTCTATGAAATGAAGCCATAACTACAATTTAACTGCGGATAATATATAGGTGGAACGCGCTTTTATTATACACTACGAGAAATAGTGTTATCTATGTATATCAGCAACACAATGTTGCATATGGGACAACAATTATTTTGGAATACTCCGCAAACCAGACCTGTAAGTTACAGTCAGTGCATAGGTGAAA